TTGGCCCTCTGCCCCTACCATCATCCCCAGTCTCTACAGGAGCCCAAAAGTGTACTGGCGCCCAGACTGAATGCCGAGGTACAGGGGGCCATGCCAATCTGGCTGCTTAGCTGCACGGTGACTGTTTGGCACCACTGACAGCAGAGAGAGCGCAAAATACCACACATATGTCACCACACACACTTCAGGACAAAATCAAACCAGCGCACTATTGTTGGTTAATGGTGAGTGTTTTTGGAGAGGAGTAGGGATGAAAACAAATGGGTTCATTGTGTCTTGAAAAAAAACACATGCACACACACTTGCACCCACACAACAGCCAAACACAGGATTGAGTTACAGTCGAGGCATTCCGGCTCCCCACCCATTCCCCAGCCTCTCTCTTTGGTACGAGCCTGACGGAGGCTGGGAGTCACACTCTGGCCTCAACAGGGACACACTCCCTTAATCCCTTTTATAAGAATTCCCCTGTACTGTCTGAGCAGGGTCACACCGACATCCTGGCACCTGTTCCGCACGCACCAGCTCCATCAGTCCCATGTAATGCTCAGTGGGAATCCTCCTCCATGAACACACCCCCCTGCACGTGTGTAGACTTCCTCATTCCTGAGCGAGTTTGGACACAGCTGTGTGCACGCATGGGTTTGTGAATGTGCTTGAAAAAAAAGGGCTGAGGAAGTCAGGGTGTATGTGAGTCCAAATGAAGTCATTCCTTCACAATGAAAACAACCATCTGTCCTACTGTTCTTCAAGAGGTGCGGTCTTGGCTTCAGCCTTTCAGCCAGTTCCTTGCATCTTGAAAACGTTACAAGAGAGAGGGTGAACACATTTAATCCCTTTCATCAGACCATTACTTTGCAGAAAATTTACATTTAGATGGACGAAAGATCAGCGTTACACAAAACCATCAGCCTGAGAGAACGTCTGTGCCGTAGAGGCCAACTCTGAAGGTTGACTGGCCTAACCCACTGACTCCACTTTCAAACCTCTCCACATGTGTGTGAAAAATACACTTCTGAATCTATTTCCCCGAGTTCGGCAGGGATGAAAATGCTGCACTAAAACGAACTGAAGGTCTCTGACATGCGATGGGTCTGGGCAATCTAACATGTTGCTTTGAGATGATTGGAGCTGAGCAGGGATTGGCTCTTAGTGAGCACACAGCGCGTCTGAGCCTTGAGCGCCCTAAATCTGTCATTCACAATGGTCATAATGGTTTAAAAAAACAAGTCATGTGTTATTTATCATTTTCCAGTCTACTACCAACTCTTGATGCAACACTTGGTGGAGGAGAAGCAGACGTGATGGGTTTTTATCTCGTCCTAATCATGCATTAGTTTGTCTCAAGTGTTACTTATGAGGAATTACCATGCTCAAGCAAGTGAATGGAAGCATATGGAAAACAACAACAGAGCAGAGTGATGGTTACGAGAAGGCTGAATGAAATAACGCATTGTCTTCCTCTCAGTTAAACCTGCACAATACCCACCACTAACTAATGAGCGAGAAGGTAACAGATGCAAATCTAATAACCAGATGTTCCTAATTTCATCAGGACTGTCTCCCTTCCTGTTGAAGTACATCTATCTGCTCATTACAACCAGCGCGGTCAAAGGCCACACAGCGTGTCCCTGCTGATGTATGATGTCAAAGTACTAATGAGTTGAGGGGGATTTCATGATCTGCTCTGTTCACCACTTATGTCTCATGTAGTTTGATATGATAAGAGAGACACAGGTGCTAACACCCTTCATTAACATGCAGCTAGTGTTTCCATGTTGATATTTGAACATACAGAAATTTAAACTACCGTAAATTATGATAACCATCTACATGTACGTTTGACGTTTGGTCCATGTCCTAACTACTAACGTGGAGGAGGTGGGATTTATGACGTATACTGCAGCGAACCACCAGATGGCAGTCGAGACAGTGTTTGTTTGACAAAAGATGACAAACTTCTCAAATGCTAACTCTTGTCGGAACACGTGCAGCTTATTTTTATTCAGATTTAAATGGGAGCATGAATCGATGCAAGCACGCAGTACTTTCACCTGTTCAGACACAGTTAGCTCAATACCAAACACCATCTTGAGGTTTAATCTCAAGACCAAATACCACAAGGCTGTTCCTAATGAAATCCCTTCAATAGCTCAGCTCAGTATGGATTGTTTGGAGCTGAAGACACATCTGTCACATCATTACTCAGGTGTGCTGAAGCTCTGCGGCCTGAAGAATCCATTACGTTTATCATAACATACTGTTCACCTCATAAGGTTAATTTAATTACATGGAGCTTGTGTCTGATGGTATATAACCTATATGTTTACTTCAGTGGTTTATTGAACACACCAGGGATCTAATAATATTGCATTATTTTTTGGACGTAGCCAATCCATACTCACATATCATCAATAGCTGGCCCTGTGAAAGCATGCAGGCCATGTGGAGGCAGCTCAGACCAGCTCTGCAGAGCGCACAAGGTTTCCATGGAGTCAAAGCTCCTGTTGGGAGATAATTAGATGCCTGTTGCGTCCCCACTGTGACTGCCCCTTTTCCCTCTTTTATACCATCAGAATTCCTTGTTCCACATCGCCCTCTCTCACTCTGCCTCTCTTTCTTTCTCCGACTTTTGCTCCCAAGACAGAGAAGCCGGCTGTGACAGAGCAATTCCACTCATGAACCATGTCAGCGAGATCGCTCTCGTCATCACTCTCTGTGTCTGTGTGCAAAGCTGCACTTTAGCCAAAAGACATCCAAAGGCCTGTTAGGAAAAACTGGGCCATCAAGTTCGGTCCTTTTTAAATCAAGGCCCTAATGAGCTGAGGAGCCATGGTGAGATAAAAAATCTAATTCACTATCTAGATAGAGATGGAGATTTGGGGAAATTCCCAATTAAATGAAAGTGTGACTAAAAAAGAAAATGAGAGAGAGGAGTGTTTTCCTTTGTACAGTAGTCCATTTCCTAATACTTAATAATTTGACTAATTTTATTTTTATGTAATTCCCTTAAATAGAGTTTCTCTGAATTGACAAATGTCACAGCTTCAGCAAAAAAGAGGAACAAAACAATTTCATTCTCCGCCAACTGATTGCTCATCCATCCATCCAACCAACCAACACAGGAACCGAAAGTCTATTCCAGTACAGACAGGAATGGATCATTCAATAAAAAATAATCTTTTTAAACTGGAATTCATTTTGCACGTTGTGTTTACCAGTGGGGTAGTGTGGATTCTAGTCGTGACTGCAACACCACAGGGCAATAGTAGAATATCTATCATGTCTGTAGAGTAGCATGTGATCTATGATTCCTGCAAAGTCACATGGACACGCACATAATCAGACACACACAACTCTTGGAACATACACACAGCCATCCAGTTAGTGTTTACCTCTGTGTTGACCTGCCCTCTCTCTCACTGTCTAACACACACACACACACACACACACACACANCACACACACACACACACCATGCCTCTCAGTCTAACATCAAACCGAACGATGCCCTCATTAACAGCACACCTGTTATTCTCTGTAGACTCGGCCTAAATTGGAGGGAACGTGTGCCGTGGTCTCCGTCTGTACCTGCAGACTTGTTACCAGACGCTTCTGACAGATCCCTGCTCCTGTGACTCATGTCAGTTCAACCTGTACCGACTGTGGTGCTGCACCAAGCTGTCATTTTAGTTCAAAACCATAATACCTCCACAGGACAGCTAGCTTCAGAGGAGAACCCAGAGGATGCACAGGGTCTTGACCACTGGAGGCCAAAGTCAAAAGGTGCTAATGAAGGTACAGGTTCACAACAATTCACATTTTTAGTGCAGATTGGGTTCAAAGAGTGAAAGAATTGACTTAGTGTTTTGTCATTTTACAGAGAAACCTCAAACTCAGCAGGCACAGCACAGAACAAATGATGTTTGTGTTTCACCCCTCTGGGCACACAGGAGCACACACTGCCAGGGAAGGTGAGAGTGAGCAAATACACATTTCCCAGGGCTGCATCCTAAATAGAGGGAGGGGGGGTAAAAACCAAGCTGGACTCCACGCTGAGAGACCACAGTCACCAAACGTGATGCCCCCCACTCTGATGCTTCACCACTGGAGGGGGAGGCTGGTTGAGGGGTGGAGAGGGCTCAAGCTGAGGTGCCTTAACTGGTCAGTACAACCTGGAGCAAGAATTCCTCCCCCCCAGTACTGGTTTCTGATACTTCTATGCACCTGCTGCAAGAGACAGATAACGAATGCTTTCAGGTTTGTATTGGTGAGCTGTGCAATGCTACAGCGCCCTTGAGGGGAAAAGGCTGCACTTACTGCCTCTTGGATTCTTGCAGTGGATGATGCAGATTTTTTTCATTCCAAGCAAAACAAGAGTACAATGTCAACAGTGCCACACCTGTTCGTTCTGTCCTGCCTGTGAGGGAACAGGCTCTTCGTTTTAAATGTGCAGAGATGTGGGCTTGATAAAGAGCCAGGCAGTGTCTGAGGCTCTGCTCCCCATGTTAATGATTACACAGACTGAGATAAAGCTTCACACCAAACCAGGTCCTAACAGTGGAACATGAGAAATGCTGCTGTCTTTGTTTATGTCCCTCTGTGCTGTGAATGTGAGAGGCAGAGGCAGAAGACGCAGTGAGTCCAGGCTCTCGAGTCGAGCTGGTTCCTCTCACGCGCCCTTTAAACCGACCTGCACGCCGCTGACTCACGGACACACACTGTGATGCTCTCTCTCTCTCTGTCTCATTGTGGAGCTGCACCATCTGTAACACCTAACACACATTATGATGTCGTCACTGTTGCTAGTAAAAGTTACTACTATGACGACACAGTGTTCTGGGCACAGTACGTGGAACGTGTGAGGGGAAACACACATGCGCGCGCACACACACACACGCGCGCACGGGCACGCAGCTAGTGACTGTGGGCGTGAGCGCAATCTCAATATTTTAATATAGTACAGATTTGATGTGACGCTGCTTTTACGCGCTACTTACCAGCACTACACTTCAATGCCCATCTTCGATCCGACCTGTATCCGGTGACAAATCAATAAAAGAGCCGCTCTTGATATTTCCCCAAAAAAGAATTCAAATCAACGTTCACACACCAGCCTGTTCAGCTGGCATCAGCCGGACTCCACGGGCGCAATGTCTGGTTGTTGAATGATCCTCGCTCCGGACAGGTTCCCAGGTTTCCACCGGTGAGCACCGGACACACGCGCAGAGCTGACGCCGAGGCAGAGTGCGTCCCTGAAGGCGTGGCGACCGTCCTGTCCTGCGCCACGGAGACACGGCGGAGCGCACAGCACATCCACACACCACCACGGACTGAATGAGCCAGAGGAGAGGAGAGGAAACTACTCACACTCCTGTCAAGGGAGCAGACATGGTCGGGCTTCTGTTCACACATTTCAAAATAAAATACCACCACAATAAACGCATTCCTGTGGTATTGGTTACGGTCTAACTCTTGTTTTATTTTGAAGAAGAGACTAATTGATTTCCGGTAGTAAATTTGATGCTTCTGTAGGCAGAGTAACACACACACACACACACACACACACACACACACACACACACACACACACAGGGCCAGAGAATCCATATTATTTATTTATTTTGTATTGGTTGTGTGTGGTTTTATTTACGCACATACACAACTGATTCAATCTGTCATTTCACATGACGTTTTATCCATTTTCACCCGACAGAACCACAGTAAAGTGGTGTCAGACATTTGGAATCCACTTTATTTAAAGACAATGAAACAGCAGAATCGTTTCTGTGATCTATACATCTAACACTGACATAGATGTCAATCATTAATGATTTGAAAACACAGGCAACTTTGTTATGTGGATTTGGCCATATGGATTAAAAACAAATATGAGGGAAATATAATTATAAATATAAGTTAATTTAATATTCAAAATTGTCTGTCTGTGGTTAATGACTCCATCCCATTTAATATGAGGTTACAAGACACAATGAGCATTCTTTTAATTTGTAATCCACAAACAACCCTGACCCCTGAATGGAAAGAGCCATCTCTACATATGGAAATGAGAGTCTGACATCAGAGCTGTACCTTCATTAAAACCAGAGTTAATTAAAACCATCAACCCAATTTAACAGTGAGGGAAAGTCTAAAACATCCCAGCTGGGTGGAAATGATATGCTGACATATCACGAAGAGGGGGTGTTATACCCATGACTGTTACTGTTACTGACTGGCTGTTTTTTTTACAAGGGTGAGATAAGTTATTGGTGAGGGTTAATTTGAAGGGAAGTTTTGCAGAGACAGTGGGGGAGAGGGACAGAGACAGAGAAATAATTAAATAAATGAGATGCAAAGTAGTAAAGGTCTGTGTTGAGCCATGAGGGGCCTTAGATGAGGGAAAGGATGAGCCTGACACTGCAGCAGAAGACCGAGATAAAACAAGAACAATAAAGCTGCTTTCAGACATGCACCCAACTCTGGATAATCTCCTGAAATTATCCAATGGGGCTGTAGTGAGAGGGCAAATATCCAAGTGAGTTGCACTGGACATTCTCCGGAATTTCTGCGGTCAGAGTGAGCCCATGTGATATCATAGCAGGATAATTTGTGGAGGATTCACTGTGAGGGCGTGGGCACATTGAAACCCATTTAACACGCAACAGACGCAAAACTAAAAAACAAAGAGACAAACAAACAAAAAGAAAGGATGAAATATCTCAGGTAAAGAGGTGCCACACACAGGTGAAGATGTCACCTTGGAAAGATAATGAGATTGGAAAGCTTTTGGTGACATAGGAGATGCTGTTGGTGTCGGTGTGCTGTAACAAAAAACATGTGCTCTTCACAGTGGAATTCATACATTATGTCCTCACCCCTGCATGCTCTAACCTGACGCCACCTTTAGCCTGAATGCTGCAGAAATGTTACTGATCTGACCCAGAAAATCTAAAGCTGCATGTGACAACTGGGTCTGGACATCTTCCAAAGACACACACATACACACGCAGGCACAGAAGCATTTGCAGAGGGATAAGAATCAAGCAACATGCAGCTGTTCCACTAATATAAAATTGCATTCACTACAATTACGCATTAGTCACTTGTACACGGAGTATATTGACTTACATTAGTTCCACAGAGTCTCTTTAATATAATAATTTGGATTTATTACAACTTAGGAAATTGGTTTTGGTCATTATTTCTATTTGCTATCATAAAGAATGGGTCAGACGGGGCAAGAAACCAGCCTGGTATCTTCTGCTCCACACCATCTAAACATGTGTGTGTTGATGCTAAAATGAATGTGTGTAGAGATCAAGTGAACAGGTGATTCCCCTTGGTGTAATTGTGTGAACATACGTGGTTGATATAAATAAACACACATACACACACACATACAGTGTGACAGAAAGAAATTAGTCATTTCGTGCGCAAGAAATCATAAGTGGTTATTTGTTTAAGAGGACGTGTTTCAGATGTTCCCTCACTCACTCGGCCTCACTAATCTTAGCCCTTTTCATAGGTTAGTTCCTCTTGCCGTGTGTGCATATTTGTAGTCACTCGAACAGAAACCTCAGCTACTGATTACACAACAAAGAAGTGTGTTGGTGGCCCTTGCACATGTGAGAAAGGCACTTGTTATTTTTCCTGGAACAGCAGAGGAAGTAGACGGAGACACATTAAAATGTTTCACATTGCCTCTGCTCCTCACTCTCCCCTCGCAGGCTTACATTATACACTGAGACTGTTGCTGCAGTATTAGTGATGGAGGCTGATTTCAGCTTTCACGCTCACAATGTCTCGAAGTTTGTTTGCTTTTTTTCCCCCTCCTCTTTTTTTTTTCCTCAAAATCATTTGCATGCAGAATGTTACACCCGCATTGCGCTTTTTTTCAAAAGCTGTTGTTTGGTGCTGGCATGAGAGAGCAACATCCCAGAGAGGTGTTGTTAATAAACTTGACAGTCACAGATCAAATCAAGCACTAACAGCCAGCAACAGTGAGAAGGCAGCTTTCATGACTACAGTCTTCACATTAACTGCAGCATTTTAGAAACATGCTTCTGCATTAGGACACGCACAGTATATAGTGAGAGGCAGCTGTTAGAAATGGAAATGACCTTCCAGAAATTTTAAGTTGCTATGTTGTACTTACATACTGCCCTGAGAGCTCAATGCACTGCAACTTAAGAAAACAACCAAATACTCAGAATACAATCAAATACTTGCAACTCAACAGAATGTTTCCAGGGGACACTAAAAAGTGATGAACACTGCTGAGACATGGTCCACCCGGCCCACAAAGACCACCTCCTTCCTGCGATGCATAGACCATGAAGGCCTGGTCTACAAAGGGTTTCCATTATCACAGTCACCAGCTCATCCTGCCCTTATTGCCTAGCAACAGAGCTGAAATGGAACACACTGATAAAGTTTTAATTTCTCAGGGATGGAAGGATGTATTGGTTGGGTGATGTAGCTGTCAAAATGGGATAGCACAGTCAATTTACATGTTGATCTAAAAAGACAACGCAAGCACATGTAGCTAGCTAACATCCTGTTAGCCTGTTTCTCAATTAATTGAAGGTATATTGTCAGATTACTTAAATTCATAGCCCAACACTTCTTTTTTGTTGTGACTATTTGGTTTATAAGGTATAATTTGCAGTTTAACCCTGTTAATCCTGCTGTATATGGAAAAATGTGCACATCACACTCAAGGAAGATGTTCTGGACACTGTTCAGCAATGCTTGCCTTGTTGGATGATGGGTCAAACTAGTTGCCATAGTATGAGTGGGATGAAAGAGAGAAAAGAGAAGAGGCATCCAGGAGAGAGATAGCTATTGAAAAGCATGAATAGGGAGCTCAAAGACTTCACAGGACAGACTCCTGGAGGCTTTGCATGAGAGCTGAGCGACCTTAGCTGTCTGTCATTTGTTGGTCCACTGCAACTTGTGAAGAGCGCAAGCTGGCCAAAGTGTTGTTAGTGCCAGATCCCAGTCTAATCTGCCACCCCCGCCAATCAGCCCTCATTTGCTCAGGCGCCTCTCTGTCTCCTTGGACGAATGGCTCGGTCTGGACACCACCCATCCCATGTCCCCCTTTCAGAAGAGGGGGATAAACAGAATGAAGGGACAAAACAGAGTAAGCTTTTGGGGTGGTTGAAGAGGAAGGAAGGAGAGTAGTCCCCCCCCCCCCCAAACAACTGGACCAGTCTTTTTACATTTGTCTACCATCAGCATCTATTCTGAATGAAACAAGCAATCCAGTTCACCAGTTGCAACTGATAATTTGCTGTGGCTGCCTCCCTTACCTACTACTGGTGCATCTGTAAAGTGTCAACATATAAAAGTGGAAAGGTTTCCCATGAGTCATTTTTCAATTTCACCTGAAAAATGCAGGGAATTCCCATTAAGTCATTGCGAGCTAATAATAGTTACCTCTAGAAGTTGGTTTAAATGTCATTGTCTGTGTTGCACCGACTGAAATTGGAATTGGGAAAACCTTACATGGCACTTAAATATGCACTTGAAAGATACAACACATGACAAGAAGAAAGAAGAAATTATTCTTACCAAAGCCTGATGCATGGGGGGGAAATCTCACTATGACTTCATTTACTCAGCAATGACTGGACAGATGCTGTTTGGAGGAGGGGTTGGCAAACAGATTTTTCAGTATTGAGTTCACGATGAGCTGTTTACCCAGAATCACAGTTTTCTGTATCATACTGATATACAAGGGGAACTACAGACCAGCAGAATAACCGTTTCATACATCCTCATTTAGAAACTTTATTTTAAACTGAACTGAATGCAAAAGCAGTCTAAGAAGCAGACAAAGTGTCAATATGCAAATCAGATCAATCTGATTGGTGTAAAGATATAAAAAAAAATGGGAGGGTAACCAAAGAAAAATTCTCACATGTAAAAACTTGACAAAACAACCCCCCCCCCCATCAAGTACTATCTTCAAAACTGAGCTTATATTTGGTTTCTGGGTCATCACTTCTAAGTCTTTTTGTCTGGGTCTTAAAACCCATCCCAAGGCATGCTGACTCTCTGACAGTCAGTGAGGACTTCTGAGATACAAGCTGCCGGTACCTTTATATGTGTGAAAGCTCAAAGAGAGTAGTCCCATGTTTGTTGTTCAAATAGAACATCACAAATCTGTCATACTTAGTTCCTGGCCTTTAGGGCAAACATTGGTATTTTTAGCCTTTCTCCTTCCTCCCAACAGCTTATGTAACAGGTTGATGAATTGATGGTAATCAGCAGACATGGTTTTAGTGATGCACAATAACGCAGTCCAGTTAAAGTGACTAAAGATGTCTGTTCTTAGCACTGAGGAAACACAAAAAGGAGAGGGGAAAAAGTGATGTGATTGCAG